AGAGAGACAGAGTACTCAACTTCCTCTCTCTTCTAGTCTTCTGAGGAATGCTATATGTCTGCCTGTCTGCAGAAAAAGTGTTTGGGGTGATTTGAAAAAACACTCCACTAAACTGTTATATTGACAAATCACTACAAGGTGTCTTTCAGAAGTATGAGACAAAGTGTGTGTTTGTTTGCGGTGTGGTAAGAGGAAGAGGGGGGATTGAAGAAGGAAAGATCATGACACCCCCTTTTACATTTCCCTCTCTGAACTAAGTCAAAACTGTTGCTTGTCAGAGTTTTTTTAGACAAAAGGGACTAAAAACTGAAAAAAACACAAGGGGAGACAGGACAGAGAGAGAAAATAAAGAGGATGTTTGATTGACAGCCAATAGGCCTGCTTGTCTCCTGTCACACACATGATTGCTGACCGACCCCTCTGCCCGGCTGAGGCCTCTGGGTAGACAGGCCAGAATTACAGCCCCATTTAGAGAATGAAGGATCATGAATGCCTGGTAGCCTCCCAGGCCGCTCATTGTCTCTGGGATGTGTTGCGGCAACCCGGGGGACGTAGAGGCGACATTTAAGAATAAAATAAGAGACTCAGACACTAATTAAAAAGTGTTGGTAACACATTCTGTGTGGACAAAACAGTGGAGAGTGGAGGTGAGTTGGTTAGGTTACCTCCTGTTCAAGGTTGCTTCTCTTGAGTCGCTGCTCCGAATCTCTGGCCAACTCACACTCCATCTTCCCATCGCTTGCCAATAGGACCCTCAGATACTTGAGCTCCTTCACTTGGGGTAAGGCCATATTCCATACCCGGAGTAGGCAATCCATCGGTTTTCTGTTGAGAACCATGGCCATTTAGAGGCGCGAACCTCTCCAGTGGGAGTTGGAGATCACAGGCCGAAGATGCCTTCAGGACCACATCATCTGCAAAAAGCAGCAATGGAGCGACCCTCCCCCCGACTACACCACAATATCCTGTTCATGAAAATCACAAACAGGACTGGTGACAAGGTACAGCCCTGGCGAAGGCCAGGCCCAATCGGAAACGCCTCCGACTCATTGCCAAACACCTGAACACAGCTCACCCTTTGGGCGTATAGGGATTGGATGGCCCCAGGTAGGAACCCCCTCACCTCGTACTCCCGCAGCACCTCCCACATTATCTCTCGGGAAACCCAGTCATACGCCTTCTCCAAGTCCACAAAACATATGTAGACTGGATGAGCATACTCCCAGGCCCCCTCCATGATCCTTGAAAGAGCAAAGACACCACCCCGGTCTGCCAATCCTTAGGCACTGTTCCAGACTTCCGTGCAATGTTGAACAGGCATGACATCCAAGACAGCCCATTTCTTTTTGCATTTCTGGATGAATCTCATCAATCCCTGGGGCTATGCCACTGCAGAGTTGTTTCTCAGTGACTTTCACCAGGCAAATTGACGTTGAACCTTCTTCCGCTTCCAGCTCCGCCTCTACCAAAAAGTGCGTAGTAGTTTATTCAGGAATCTCTCAAAGTGTTCCTTTACCGCCCGATTACCTTCGCAGCTCCGGTCAACAGGGTCCTATCCTTACAGTACACAGCTTGGATGATTCCGCGTTCCGCACTCTGGTTCAATACCCCTCCTACCTACACAGGAATGCAAGAGTAGCTCAGCCGGAGGTATGGATTGAAAATCTTTTGGACCGGGGCCTTTTCCAGAAGTTCCCCCGCACTGTGCTTGGGTTTACCAGATCTATCCTGAGTCCATCCTCTAACCCAGATCACCACCAGATGATGGTCAGTTGACAACTCTGCCTCTCTTTACCTGAAACAGTCCTGTCCAAAACATGAGGCCTCAGATCAAACAATACTATTACTCTATTGTATCGATTGCTCTGGTAACACGTACACTAATGATTATTGTTATGCTAAACATGGTGTTTGTTTTGGCCAATCTGTGACAGAGGTCCAATAACAAACGACCACTTGGGTTCAAATCAGGGAGGCCGTTCCTCCAAATCACTCCTCTCCAGTCATCTCCATTGTCGCCCACATGTGCATCGAAGTCTCCCAGTAGGACTATGGAGTCCCCTACTGGGGCCCCTAAGCAGGACTCCACTCAGGGTGTCCAAACAGGCCAAATACTGGGGGTTGCGGTTTGTTGCACGGAAAACAGAGTTTCCCCCCCCACAACCCGAAAGTGTAGGGAGGCGACCCTTTTGTCCACTGGGGTAAACTCCAATTTAGCAATATTGGACCCACACCATAACACGACACAGTAGCTAAGCTTTGGGTTACAATACTGCTTCAGGACATCAACCCGCGCAAGGAAATCGTCTTCACACCTAGGTGTGAATTGTCTTTCTTGGTTAAACTGAGATCTGATTATTCAAGCCTCAGACAACCCAGGGGTCCCTCTGCTGGTGAGTGCAAGGTTAAAGACAGTCTCTTCAAATCAATCTTATCCAAATTGGCTTGCGTCGATGGAAGGATAAAAGGACCGAGCCAAAATGTTTCGAATCGACTGGTGTCGATGACAGGATTTAGGGTCTCCACCTTTCAGCGGTTTGGCCTCGATCAGACCTCGTCGGTGGGTTCCTTTTACTAGCTGCTTCCAGCCCAAGCAGCTCAACAACGAGGAAAACTTCCTCTACCAAACTAGCATCAACTGACTCCACCCTAAAATATTTTTTCGGTAGTTAAGAAACAAAATCCGCATCCTGTTTGTTGATACGTCCCGCAGCACCCTGACTAATGTGCATATTAGGTAGTCACAGTTCTGGCACAATTGGAATGACAATATGTAAATACAATGGCCCGCAATCACATGCCATCATTTAAATACCTTATACAGACTGCACGTCTAAATGGTACAATGCTCATTCAGCTGAATTTGACCCAACTCTTTCCTCTCAAAGGCCAACCAAATCTGCAACATCTACAGCCGTATTCTGGCTCAGAAGCTCACATTGGGCCGTCGGGCACAGCATCAATAAGTCTGACTTTGATTTTACCGGACAAACCACCGAGCAGATTACAGTTTTGTTGGCACTTTTTTTTTTTGTTACCCCTGAAATTACAACATATTTCTAAGCTTAACAATGCCAACTGGCCTCTCTGCCTCACCCGTTTACTCCCTTTCTGTTTTCACCCGTCTCTCTCGATTCCTCCTCTCTTATCTTCCTCTCCTTCGCTGTTTTTTGGGGCTCAGAGATAAGATCTCCCTCAATGGCACACTTTGGGCAATATCTTAAAGATCCCTACTGTCACTTCAGCTTAAGCAGCCCTTTGGGCTCTCAGTACACACACCAACACACACACACACACAGCCTCTCACTAATAATAGGGGCAGGGAGAGGCAGTTTGGATTTGAGGACTCGTAAACACACTTCTTTCTTCCAACAATTCTCTTTGATCTTTATCAAACAAAACAGTTTCCTTGGAGTATTTTGTGCTTCCATCGCTCAACTTGAAAAAAACTGCAGTGCACTACTCCCACTTCGATTTCCCCACCCATAAATAAAATGAGAGCACATTTGGATTTCCTGACTGTGGGCTTTAGGCCCTTCACTGCCACGTCTGTCAGGTCCATTAATTCAGAAGTGTGCAAGCCGGTTCTGCTTAACTGTTTCTCTGGGCAACACGTTAACATCTCACAACAGTTAATTTGTATATTTAATCCAATTGGGTTTATTTCAAGCAAGGTGCTGTCATAGTACACAAGCAGTGGTAGAGTTTTAAAATTAATTAAATGGATCATCGGTGGGCCTTTTCACCTCCAACAGCAGCCAGCAAAGTGCCTTCTTCTGAGCTGTGCAGCGGCTGTTTAACTAAGAATCAGTTCAAGCTTTCCTGTTAAGAATTACCACTTCCTGTGTTGCAGGGAAGAAAAAAAAAACATGTCCTTCAGTTTCTAGATCCCATGGTCCTTAATGATCTGATTTCTGTCTCCCATAGGCGGGCAGTTGCTATGGCAACCTGATGACGCTCTGAGGAAGGACGAGAGGGAGAAAGGGGGGAGGAGGGGTGTATGGAGATGAGGAGGAAGGTAGCTGCACCAAAGATTGTGTGTCTTTCAGTCGATGACTCACTCGGCTGATATTTCTTACAGTTGCAGTCGTTGATTGTGCTCCACACAGAGGTTCAGTTGCTTAATTATGTTGGAGATTGGTGAATTTGCGTCCCAGGCGGGTGTCCTAGGTGTTGGTGTCGTGGGGCTGACCTATGGATTTTGGTTCTAACGATGCTTTACGAGATCATGGCGTAAGGATACACAAAGTTAAAATAATGATTAACTATCTATAAACAGGTCAGGCAGAACTCAGAAGTAATCATGTGCATAGGAGATGTCCCCTCCATCCTCCATCTATAATTGCTCCTACACCCTTGCACGTCTCTTTGCATCTTCACAAGCCTGCTGTTGCCATAGCGACCACTGTGTAGAGAGTCAACTTACTGAAAAAAAAAATCCAAATTTTACCTTTAGAAAAATGTAAAAGCATGTATGAGCCTTACATGGATTGCATGGATAGAACAGCAGCTACCCTTGAGTTTTGCTGTTCCACATTGTGCAACTGTTTGCCTTGAATGATTATTTCATTTCAGTTGTCTGGAAAGCAATGCTATATGCACTAAAAAAACACACTAATAAATAATTTATGTAATTTAGAACATTAGTTAGTAGTCTGATTTAGTGTATTTTGGTGGTAGGATAGTGTTTGTTGTGTGAATATCCCAAAATATACATAAATAAAATATATATAAAGAATTCTATTATCTTCTTCAATACATTCTTTCTTTTTGTTTTTGTTTATTTTTATTTTTTTCTTCTAAAAAAAAACTTGTGTAATAACGCCATTCACGCGGGTGAATCTTCTGGTCAAACGCGTAGACGATCTTTGTTTGTGTCTTCTGTACACAATGGCATTCTTTCAGTGAACTCTGCGGGCGTTAGGACCCGGGGCGGGCGCTGGGGGAAGTCCTGTGCTGCTGGCGGGGCAAAGCGGAGCACACAAAAACACACACACGTCCACGCACACACGCGTCTACGAACACACGTTAACACACGCCCGCCGAGCGCTCCCCCGACAGAGAGAGAGAGCGAGAGAGAGAGCGCGAGTGCAGAGAGAGGGATAAACAGAGGGGGAGAGAGAGACTACAGGAACGCAGCGGCTCGTGTGTGCGTGCGTGCACGCGTGTGTGCGCGTGTGTGTGTGCGCGCGCGCGCGCGTGTGTGTGTGTGTGTGTGTGAAGGTGCGCTCGTTCGTTGGCAGAAGCGACCGGCGGGGCGGATATGGAGGGGCTCGGGAAAAACGCTGGGAACTGACCGAGCGCCGAGACGAAAGAGCGGGTGAGAAAGAAGAGCGAGAGAAGGGACGGACAGCGCCGAAGGACGGACGGACGGACGGACGGGAGGAGAGGAGGAAAGGAGTCTTGACAGAGGAGCCGAGGACTCGCGTGGAACGCAGAAGGACCCTAAGGTGACTTCATGGGGCTTTCGTGGCTGTGCGCAGGTCCGCCAGAGGTGTGCGTGCGTGCGCGTGCGTGCGTGTGTGAGCGAGAGAGGGGTGTTGACATGTGCTGCATGCACGGCACTTAAAGAGTGTAGGTGTGTGTGTGTGTGTGTGTGTGTGTGTGTGTGTGTGTGTGTGTGTGTGTGTGTGACTGAGGGGTGGGCAAACGTGTGGGTAGTTGCCTATAATAACGTGTGTGTGTGTGAGTTTTTAGGTTGTTTTTCTGGCTTTAAAGGGGCCACCAAAGTGTGTGAGCGAGCTGAACTGACCGCAGTAAACTGGAGTGAAGGGATCAAAAGGAGTGGATACTTTTAAGGGAACAGCGTGATCCCAGCGCGCGCGCGCACACACACACACACACACTCAAAGGTAGACCACTTTATGGTGAGCTAGAGGAAAACAACACAACACTTTTAAGAGTTCCTTTTTGAAACCCTTTTTGTGTGTGTAAGAAAAGACCGTTTTCGGTGCAGCAGGTAACACACAGTCGTGTGTGTGTGTGTGTGTGTGTGTGTGTGTGTGTGTGTGTGAGTGAGAGAATGCATGCATGTGCCATATACGGTATAACAGGTTGAGGGGAGGCAGATCTGATCAGACGCACAGCAACAGAGGAGAGCGCGTGGCACAGGCTGAGCAGCAGCACATTGGATTACACACACACACACCAACGCACGCACACACACACACACACACACACAAGCTCTGTGGCTAGCAGAACAGCTGGGAGAAGTGTGTGTGTGTGTGTGGCTGACAGCGTTTCACATGATGCACGCCCGCTGTTTGTGTGTGTGTGTGTGTGTGTGCTCGTGTGTGTGCGCAGGGAATGAATGCCCTGTCGTCCCATTCAGACAGACGGCGAGTGTGAGTCTGCCCCCCCACCTTGTCTGAAGACAGGAGGTGGAGGAGGGTTAAGGGCAGGCTGGAGGGGGAGGGGGGGGGCGATCAGATGGCTGAGAATAAGATGAGAAGATTAATCCAGCAGCGAGGGAGGAAACGGAGACGAGCGATGAAGAAGAGGATGCTTCGGACAGCAGGAGGAGGAGGAGGAGGAGGAGACAGCGGCTGACATGCTCTCTCCAGGAGTGCATCGGAGTGCTGCTCATTCATAATTCACCTCCGCGCCAAACGTTCATTCACATTCCGACCCCCCGCGGCTGCGCTCAATGGCGCCCTCGCCCCTCCACCTCTGCCTGTCTCTCAATGGACGCCCCTGCAGCGTGACGCTCGGTCAGCCCGCTCCTCCGTCAGCCCGCTCCTCCGTCAGCTCGGAGACGGCTCGGCTTCTAAGAGAGGGGGGGGGGGGGGAAACGCCGCTGTTTTTGGCCCGTTACGGCTCCTAAAAAGCGTGGACTTTTTTTTCTTTCAGTCCCGAGAGCTCCGATGTGAGATTGAAATAGTTTTCGATTGAATACGGAGTTCAGCCTCGGCCGTAGGCGCTGAAGACGGGCATGAATGGCTCAGCGGGTCAGTGCGCTCCGAGCAACCGATTCCCTCAACAACGGCCACAACGGCCCATGATGGATCCATGATTCATGTGTGAATGAATTCACTAGTCTGTGTTTAGAACAAAAGCACAGGGCGCCACGCGTTCAGCGTGAATACTCCTAACGTTCCTGCCCGCGCGCGGAGCTCCACCAACAACCGGCTGAGTTTGAAACGCAAAGTCAGGAAGAAACGTTGCGTGCCGCTGCATATGAAGGCGCCGCTGGTGCCACTGGACGCTGCGCTGTGGACGTGGTTCCTTTGCACATCGGTGCTAAAAGGGGCTCGGTGTGGCTGTGAGGTCATAGACCACCAGGCACGTGAAGTCACAGCATCCGCACTTACAAAGTGGGATAAATCGTCTATGCATAGAGACGACGCACGTAAAACCAACGGGTTTGTATCGTTTCGGTATCGATACCTTTTTAATAAAAGTATCTGCCGGCAGGCGTTGACTGTGAGGAGGCGGGTCTCATGGTCTCATGGTCTCATGGTCTCAAAGACGTGGCCTCATGTGCTCTCTCCTTCTCGTCCTCGGCTTGTTGGGGGGAAAAAAATAACTTTGGCTCCATTACACAGTAATCACAGTAATGTATAATCAATGCTACGATGGCACCACGTAGCGTTCATCAACATTCAGTTGCAGACTAATATTTATGTCATCTGTGTTCAAAAGCAATAAGCAAATAAAAAGGGAACCATTCAGATGTTTTATTTGTAACTATTCTGGATAAACCAGTGTCGTATGGTATTTGCGGTATCGTATCGGGTATCGTGATATTTATGGCAGGTATCAAAGTCGTCATTTTGCCATTTAAAGTGTGAAGAGACTTAAAGCAGTAGTGTCGTTCACATGAACAAAGCGTGTGTCTAACGGCGAATGAAGGAACTCGAGAGGCCACCAGCGTCTTATCGGTCCCGAGTTTGGGATGTTTTTTTGGCTTCCCTGTGGAGTAAAAGGACGGGTTGGTAGACGCGGAAACGCTGAGCGTGGCCGCACATCTGGAGCCGCAGCAACACGCTGTCCTCATCACTTTTAGATCTACAATCGTGTGTCCAAACTGGGAGAAATACAGCAGCTATACATACTAAGGCATGTCCACTGGGTGACATGCCCACGTGGATCCAAAATGTCTCCACGTGACCTTGTTTGAGACAAAAACACCTCGACTTGCCGACGGGAAGCAGAGGTTGTCCAGGACTCGCCCTGCAGCGCCAACCAAGGACCAGCCAGCCGGTTGGGAACCGCAGGATTGAGAAACGCAGCAGAACCTTTCATTGCTGACGTGGCTGAAACGTCTCTTCCAGTATGTTGTCGCTTTGCTACTCTTTGTTTTCCTCCGACCCGTCCAGACACAAGTTAATGGTGCCGTTTTTAATATTTAGCAGGTTTATCTTTCTTTATCGAGTTCAAAGCCGCGTCTCAACCCGCCCGTCACAGGTGGGCCGGGTGGTCTGTGCCCCCCAGGTATCTGCTTGTGCACAATAGACCTCCTGCTGACGTGCAACGGACTCTTGTGATGGGCGCACACGAGTACATGCACACCGGCAGGCACGAGCGCAGTAACACACACACGCACATGCACGCAGAGAAGGACGTCAGCGGGTGTAAAAATAGATTTTATAAAGTGTTGTATGTTTACAAGCGGTGATGTCACGCTTCTGTGTGGAGTCTGAGCCGCTCGCCTCTGCTGTTGGTCTTTGGTGCTTTTAAGCAGCAGAGTTCAAGGAGTTGCCGTTTGTGTGTGTGTGTGTGTGTGTGTGTGTGTGTGTGTGTGTGTGTGTGTGTGTGTGTGTGTGTGTTGTTTTCAGCGGAGGAGGCATGCTCACGGTGACGCTGTTCTGGTTGCCAAGCAACACAGGAACGTGGGTGGAAGGATTTCCTGTCCTTAGGAAGCTTTGTTTATAAGTGTGGGGGGAGTGAGCGTGTGCGTTTGTGCGTGTGTGTGTAGATTTCAGTGTGCATCTCGGCCGTATGCCCGAGTGCTTGTGTGTGTTTAATGCACTCTTTGCTTCAAGTATGAGTGCATTAAACAAAAGTCACTTAAGACACAAACGCACACACTCTCTGTGTGTGTGTGTCCTGCGCACACAGCGAGAGGGGGACGGGCTCTCTCTGCGTTGCATAACTCCTCTGTTTGCACTGACCCCCCCCCCCCCCACTCTGGCCCAAAACACCAAGTCACCGCCGCCGCGCTGATGTCATCAGCATGCCTCTTTTTGTGTCTCCTCTCGCACATGAGATTGCAATTATGTGTCCCCCCCCCCCCCCCCCAAAAAAACCCGAAGCCCACCGCCGCCCTCCTTCGAGGCGCTGGACCCCGACGTCAGCTCGCTGGCGAGCTGCAGTCATGTCATGAGTGGATGCAGTCATACGCCGTGTGTGTGTGTGTGTGTGTGTGTGTGTGTGTGTGTGTGTGTGTGTGTGTGTGTGTGTGTGTGTGTGTTGCAGAAGTTACCTCAGGAGCCATCGGATTTATATAACGCGTTTACTCCTCCCCCTATTCTTTTACACTCCTCCCCCTTAAAGTGGGAAGAGTTTAAAGGCAATAGATATTTTATTGTGCTGGATGTTTTGTTCTTGGCGGCGTGAGACGTCTAAAGATGCGCTGTTGTGCGCACACACACACACACACACATACACACACACACAGTGCTGCAGCCTGTTGCGGCCCCCTGAGAGCGGCCGCTTTTAGAAATGAATGTCGGAGTGTCTCTCCGCTGGTAACTCCACCGCCTCGACGCTCCGCGTCTGCTGCTGCGCGACCTCTGTTGATTCATCCCGAGACTCGCCAACCATCACAGGCGGGCAGCGACTGAGAGGAGGAAGAGGAGGAGGAGGAGGAGGGTCGTCTCCACAGCCGCCGCCGCGTACGCGCCAGTTCCTGTTTTAGCAATACGACAACACGGCGTCATGGAGAAAGAGGAGTGATTTGGTGCTCGGCCTTCTTCAGCGCTCGACCAAAGCGTCTGTTTTTAGCTCGCCGTTTGGCCATGAGCCTCCGTGAGCTCTGTTCAAATGTTGCACTAAAAGGACAACAGCGTAACCGTGGAATGAAAACAGGCAGATTTTGTACCAATGAACCAACACACACACACACGAGTAAACACACACGTACACATCGCACCATCAAAAACACCGATAAATCAGAGGTTCACTGCAAACTTCCCCCCAACCTGTAATTACATACATGTGCACACGAGGTACACACACGCCTGCAGTCTCTGGGCCTTAGTCAGCGTCTGTGAGTCCGTGCGTGGGCCTGTTCCCTGGCAGTGTGAGGGGAAAAAATACCTTCCCATATGATGTCAACACAAGTCCCTGTGTGTGTGTGTGTGTGTGTGTGTGTGTGTGTGTGTGTGTGTGTGTGTGTGTGGCATTCTCTGAGATGGGTTTCACGTTTTCTGTCACCGTGTACCAAATTATTCCACAACACAGTGCAGTTTCTTTTTCTCTCTCGCTGCCATCTGGGCCTCGTTGCACC